GTGCCGCATCCCACAAAGGGACCGATCAATGGCAAGACCTTATTCTTTATCCTTTATCCTTTACCACCATAGCTTTAGTACAGATCTTTACGAAGAGAAATGGTAAGCAGTGGAAGGTGCTGACCTGGTGAAAAAGAAGGGTGAATGATTAGAAGTTTCGCTTAAAACAAATCTTTAGAAAACGCCACGCATTCGACTCCTCATAAAGAAACTCGAGTGTGTTGTAGGATTCAGGGCGTTGGGGATCTCTAGCATGGGGTCGTATTTGGTCGTCGGAGGGAGAGAGAAGGAGGGGAAAGGACATCGCACTTGTCTTTATTTGACTATAAGCCTTCAAGAAAAAACGTGTTCTTGTTGAATTTTCTCGGTTTTCGTATTTCAAGTGCGCGATATACCCTCCCCACCCACGGCGGCAATTTTTTGAGGAAAAAGTATAAAATTGAAGTAGGTGAAAAGAACTAGAAAGGTGGTGAGAATTTGTGAAAGTTTAAGAAAATGGTAGGTCCGGGAAATTTTGTGGGGGAGTCATATTATAATTTTCCCCAGGAGACATCTCGAGAGGGCTACATAGATGTTAGCAGCGATCAGCTGATAATAATCGATATCGTGCCACTTTTCCTCCTTATAGATGAATCCCGTGCCACTCCAGCGCCAAAAAAACGAGGCGGATTTACTGGATATTACTAATACAATTCAGGCTTATTACTGTGCGTCAGAGTTGTGCGGATTTAAATCATTTTCCGAGAGCAGAAAAGTTGACAAAGATTAGGCCACTGACAAGTTTCTCAGATGCGCCACGCACTCTTCTTCCATTCAAAATAACCTTTTCAATGGGACCTTGCCTGCGGGGGATTCCGACAACAGCCTCTGAATGAGATAGTGCCACATTTCCAAATGACTGTGGTTTTAACTTTAAGCGATTGTTCCAGAGCTCAGTGAGATGGAAGAGTTTGTCGGACCGGGCAGGATTCGATCTCGGATTTTCACGTCAACCCCTGCTCGGTGATATAGATCATGGAGGATGGAGAAGGTACATATGAACGAACATTCAGTAAGTTTGGCTCTGCCCTGGCCCAGAGATTCGTCGGTTAGGCGGTCAGCTCCCGAACGTAATTCAGAAGTGCCAAAGTAGCCTTAGAGAGCGAAATTGAGGAGGCAAGAAGGGAACGAAAATTGAGGACTACTACACTGACGGGTGTGGGCAATACGAGTTGCTCAGCAGGTACTCACACACGAGCCTCCTTTCCGAGCCACTCGCGCGCTTATTGCCACTTATTGCCTATCATTCAGAACTCCGGCGAAAAACAGCGACTAACGCACCAAAGCAAATGGAATGGCTTAGACAGGTGGTCAAGCTGAGGGGCAAAGCAAACACATCGGTTTCGTTACCTTGGTGAACGGCCAAAGCCCGAGTACTAGGAACCGGATGCAGACGACCACAAAGATGCGCGGATTCGCTTTCTCTCGATCGCGCCAGAACAAGAACTGATAGCGGGCGCGCCATAAGAGGGTCATTAGCTGATCGTACTATGTGCACAGACCTCACATACTGCATCAGGACTTACCTTTTTAGCACAGAACATGGGGCGCACTTGAAGCATGGCATCGATGGAGGCCATGTGAGCGATGTGACAAGCTCCATGTTTTTCGAATATTAATCAAAACATTTTGGCTATTGACTGTTTTCAAATGGGCGATAGGACGAAAACAGCCCACAAAGGCGTCGCCAGCTGATAGCCGAGACTGACTCACCTCTTTCAAAGTGAGTAGACGAGCACGTGAACGCATTCGCATCGCAGCTTGTTTCTCATATACCATGTTTAAGGGAAGAAATAACCAAAAAGCGGCGAAGTTGAACCAATTTAGGGCAACTGATAAGCGCGTTGAGCGTCAAGTTGCAAGACGGTCGATTATAGGGGCGGGCCGGGAGGGCTCGTTGAGATAGGCGAAAACAGCACTGCTTGTTGGTGATCTGTGATTGTTGCGATAATACGGTCAACAATACGCGCGACACCTCGTGTCAGCCTGAATCATTGTGGGCGCCCAGACCGTTCGGGAGACTTGAGAAAACAGTGGGAAGTGAAAAGACAAATATTGATGCTTGATAAACTTTCTAGAAGTGTATTTGTGGAGGGGAAAAGTAACTATGAGAAATTATGTGCCTGAAGGCAACAGGTTAACAGAGAAATTGATTTAAGTTCACTTACTTATATAATAGTTACCACAAGATGTGGTAATACACACTTCATATCCCAAAGACGGATAGGGCGTGGATGGGGTCCTTCATAAGAACACAGTGTAAGATGCGTTTGTTGGTGAGATATCCATTTGAAACAACGGCTCTCTTCTTGTGCTGGATGGGCGACGTGATAATAACCCGTCTCAACTCTGCAGTTGCCACAGTAAGCGCAGAAGGGTATTCAAGATAAAGTAATAGGCCGCACGCCTCTCTATCTCAGATAAAGAAGGTGTTAGCGGCGACCATAAGATCCATGAATTTTTTGTCCTGCTGTTCATAAAGTTCTTTCCTTAGAAAGAGGGCGCGGTCATGCGGAGTGGGCGGTCTGCGTATCGTTTGGACGGAGCATAATTTGAAAATGCTGATCCATTAAAAAATATCGAAGCAGAAGTAGGCACTGCATAGTGTATTGCTAGGTGTCAGGACTTGCTTCGTAAATTACGGACATTCATTACAGGCGCTCAGTGGAAAGCTTTTCCACACGTGCGGCATGCACTCGATGCTACCAATTACGGTTTTCCTAGCGGGAATACTAAGTGTCAACTTGTAGAGTTGTATTAATAAGGTGGCTGGCCAGCACATTACAGGGTTTGGGTGGTGAGACCATTAATAGTCTGCAGTTTCCCTAGTGAACGTTCACCTCCAATGAAAAAAGAAGTAGGAGGAACAATCGAAAAGTCTCAAATAAGGCCCCTCCCTGCTGTTGATCTTGAGCAGTGAGGAGCATGCAGTAAAGAAACACTGAGCGCACGGAAGAGAGACCAGATGACGAAAAAGAGAGATAAGACATATCGGTGAGACTATGCGGCACAACCATTGAGCCTTTTTCCTCACAAGTGGGCTATGAAGCAGGAGCTGCTCTTGAAACGTGCTTTCGGGTCAA